TTATAGGTTTAGGAGGGCATTTCGTGCCCTATTTTCAGCTAATAAGTAACACTGTCCGCTCATTTTGCCCAGTTCCATTTACTGGCATCGCCCTTTTTTGCAATGTTCTGCTGAACCAATGCATTTCATAGCTCCTATGTACCAATAAAAAGTTCAAGGGCTTGAATGGTCACCCGCCCTGCGAGTTTTCCGGTTTGACGCCACAAGCACTTTGAGTCAAGATAAACTGTTTGAAGTCGATCCTATTCAGTTTTATGAAAGGACTTAATCAAAAGAAGGGGAAAGTGTGGCTGGATGAGATGGAGGCTTGTCAGGCTCTTCACTATTGGGGTCATGTGTCCTTTTTATTTTGGCGTCATAAACTAACCTCTTAGCATTATTCAACCGCCAGTTCATAATATTTATATTATGTTAAATAAATAGCAGCAGTGGTTGCGCTCAATACAGTATTTGGTGACTAGGACTTCATAGGGCATACTGTTTGCAATAATTCAGGCCTTAACAACGACCAGGGATGATGCTAGTCCAGCTAGTCACAATTTTTTAAATCGTTCTTTAACAGTTTTAATGATAATGGCCACTGCCGCTGTTTTTTTTAAGAAAACGGAAAACGTACCGGAATAAGGGCTTTACCAATCTTCAGCTCGGCCTGATGCACACGCCCGATGATGGACTGTGTGCCCACTCCGTAGGCCATGCCTGCCCATCGCTTGTCTATAAGACGCTCCAAATTGCAACGCTTCGCACAGCAAGTGCTCATTATGGTGGTCTGGGCACCTGAGTCGACAAAGGCCTTGATCGGATGACCGTTGACTTCCACGTTCACGTACAGCATGGTGACTTCGCCGAATGTTTCGGGATAGTACTCCATGGCACTCTCCATTTCTTTGTCGATGTTCTGCTGCCTGGTGGTGGAAAGGGCGATGATAAGGATGATGATGAAGAAGACGATTAGTTACTCTAGAAACATTCTAATCTCGGTTACTCGCTGCTCAAACGTGACATTAAGGGCGATTCTGTCAGGATGCTTCCAAAATGCGCCACGGGGTAGATGCGCTAGACAAAGAAATAAGCCAGACCAGAGCATGGTATTGGGGCTGCATACCCCTACCACATGACCCACGCAGCGCCAGCTACCTGGGGCTGCTTCTGTCTCTGATCTTTCTGACTATAGTTTGACACCGGGTTGAGATAAATGGAAGAGTGTGGTAG